TGAATTTTTTTTTTTTTTTTTTTTTAGGTGATTATCCTGAAGAACCTAAAGGGTTGCGTAAGATAAAGGATATGATTGCATGGAGTTGGAAACCTCCTCCTGGTTTTTGGATTAAAGTTAATACAGATGTATTATGAAAACCAAAAACTGGCGTATCTGCTTGTGGAGGAGTGTTCACGTGTGATTTTTTTTTGGAGGTTTTTCACATTGTTTAAGAGCTAAATCTCCCTTTGAAGCTGGATTAATGGGAGCCCTTCATGCGATTTTTATAGCACATTTTGAGAATTGGTTTCTACTAGCGCTCAAGACTGATTGCAAAAAAGTGGTTGATGTTATAAAAGATAAACAACTTGATTATTCTCTTGATTATTCAGATGACCTTAAAAATTTATGGAACAAATGTCTCAAAATGATGCTTGCCATGATAGTTCGATGTTATCTTTTATCATGAAGGAAATGAAGTTGTTGAGCCACTGACTAAACTACCGTTGGAATCTTCTACTCCTAAATGGTGGTCAATGGAGCAAAAGGAGGCTATTCTAGACAGAATTATATTGTTGGATAAAAGCTAAATGCTGTCGTTTTGATGCTTAAGATCTGCAGCTCAAAGTGCTATTATTTTAACTAAAAATTGTTTGCGTTGTACCCAAGTTTGTAATAATAACAAAAATTTCTTGTAGTACACATTCCAGATTTATGATATTATGAATCTAAGAATGTCCATCTTTTAGTGGATCCCTCATCCAAAGTCAAATTGTACACGCAAGTGAATTGATACGTGGTGAATAATGCATTTGATTTGTAATAATTATTTACTGTATAAATAATTTATGTTTTTATATTATTAAATTATATTTAATATTAAATTATATTATTTATATGATGTTTTAAAGATAATATTAATATTTAATAAAATATGAAATCAGTAACCATTATCTTAGATGTTATATAACAACATTAATATTGTTACCCAAGCCACAACAACAGTAACAATACCTAAATTAAAAATGAAAATGATTATGAACATAGCACCCTTAATTAAATATTCGTCAAGTTCCATCTTATTATAAAAAAGGCATATGGCTACATGAAAGCAGAAACATTTATGGCCAACCTCAAGCCACATGATATTTTACCCATTCTTGCTTGGGCCCAATTGTCCTGTTTGCAATGGATTAAACTGTGCAAAATTTCTCGTCAAAGAAGATGTTTGATCTTGGAAATTTGGAATTGGAACCACGCATCAAAAGTTATACCCATCAGAAAAAGTCATAAAGGAATGCATGGTAATAAAGTTGGAATCTTCTGTCCAAAGTTTGAAGTGCAATAATATTTCCTCTTATATAAAGAAGACTAGTTAATTAAAAATTCTTTAAAGTTTGTACTAATAATGTTAATTGATTTATATATGTTAACCAAAGATTCGCATACAAATATTATAGATATATTATTTAGGACCTCATAGTCAATTCCAATTTTGTTACTCTTATGATTTTAAGAAATTCTTTTCTAAGAAAGTAAAATTGAAGGGAGGTTTAAGTTATGACATAATCCATATAATATTTCTTAACTAATATACTTTAGTTTTAATACGTTTAGTGGTATTTAGGGTATTCAAATCTTTGAAAATATCTAGAATTATTCTTTCATAATAAAACCATAAAATCTCACGCGATTTCACTTTCAATCTCAATCAACAGATTAATGTTTTATTAGTGATATTTTATTAATGTTTTATGGGTGCTTCTTTTTTCAAATCCAACTTCTGGATTGAGTTACAGAGCTCGTCATGGAATTGGAAACCTTGCTTGGAAGAAACATGTGTGTGAATGCAAGAGATGGTGTTTTTGAATGAAATAGAGGCAACAACAGGAATAAAATATAACAGTAAAACAAATCAAACAGTAAACAAAGAAAATAACATACGCTATTTACCCTGGTTCACCCAATGTGGGCTACATCCAGTTGAGTCAATATTATTGCAATATGTCTCACCTCTCTCGTTTACAATGAATGAATTGCCTTATGATTTGCTATCACACCCATAACAAGAGAAAAGTATGTTTATATACTAGGTTTAAGAGACTAAACCTAGTTTTACAAGGATTCCTATTCCTAAGCCTAACCCAATAAGGAATTAGTAACTTAAAAGAAATCCTACAGTGGTTATACATGGAAAAGCCCAAAATCGCCTACAGGCTTAGAGGCGTTTGCCCCCGCGACCCCCGCCCACTCACCGGGGAGCAAGGCACCCGCCCGCTGATCGGGTAGCGGGACCCCCGAATGCGTCTGCATTACCCAATAATGCTGAAGTAGTCGACAACTCCAACAGTTTTGGCATGGACAGTAAAACATATTAATAACTTCGTCACTTTCATCAAAAATGCTTTCTATTTTTTTCTCAACCATCGCACATGGGAAAAGCAGAAAAATGTTCTTGGTATTGACTGAGAATATTGTCTACTTGGTATCTCATTCAATCTTCACTAATCCTCCAGTTCGAAAATAAGATTTGAATTTTACGGATTTGAATACTCTAAGTATCACTAAACGTATTAAAAGTAAAGTCTATGAGTTAGGAACGGTTGTATATTTTGGAGGGTATTAATTTAAAATAGAAAAAGAGGAAGGAGAAAAGAATTAAAATTGGAAGATTGGAAAATAAAGGTAGGTAGAAAACATGGAATGGAAGATGGGTTTTGTTATGTTATTCGGTGGGGCTGGGGACTGGCTATACATTAATATTGAAATTAACGTGGGGAGTCAGTCTTAACTGTTTTGCTAGTTTGGGAAGAAAATTGACTCGGGAAAAATTTTGTTTGTTGCTAGATTAGGAAAAAAATAGACTTAACAAATTACAAGGGAAGAAATTTGGTCTGTATACAGCTGCAGAAGATAAATAAATTCAAACATATTATTAATTGCAATTTGGTGAATAATAAATAAGCTAATTAATGAGTTGAGAAAAGCAAACACATGCTATATCTTTTACAAGGTGAATACAGTGGAGTTACACAAGTAACTGTGGCCTTGCCTTTTCCTTTTGGCAGATTATAAATTCCCCAGTAGAGAAGAGCTTAGGCTTTCATCTCATCACTCAACAACATTCACAAACTCTTCTTCTACCTATTTTCTCAGCCATTTTCTACAGCTTAGTCATGAGTGAGCTGTAACCAGCAGTGCAAGCCCATGCTTACTGCAATTTTCAGTTTCATTTGAACTTTTTGACTATAAAAGTATCTCTGGAAGGGACTAAAGAAAATATCATAAACACAACACTAAATCTGCAACACTTTCTTTGCAGAATTTTCCATATCTCAGCCTTTTTTTTTGCGCTCTTGATTCTTCATGTTTCGGAGAAAGAAGAAAATCTTTTTTCTTAAGATGGTGTGGCTACCGAATACTCATCTATCTTTCAATCTTCTTGAGGTACTTCCTTCGCTTTCTTACTTCATACACGTATTATGTTTTTCACAAGATTATATATGTAAAAATCACAAGAGCATATGCATCCATGTTTGATTTATTAGTATTCTTCATCTCCATCTCTGCCATTTCTTGCTCTCCTTATTTGTTCATGTTTGATTGATATCCATTTGTTCTGTTTGTTTAGGCTGCTCGTTTTGGTGGAACAAACATTGATCCAACACCATATTCGGTAACTCAACAACTACATATATTTCAGTTGTTTTACTTTAGTAATCTATTTAAGATATATTTTTCTTTATTCTGATTCTGAGTTTAACAAAATTTCAGGGAGTTTCATTCGGTAATTGTTATGGAATGGGAGGAGTTGGCAACATAATATTATAGGTAACATATATACATCAATTAACATTATTACTACAAACTTTAAAGAATTTTATTTAATTAAAAGGAAATATAAGAGGAAATATTGCACTTCAAATTCAATTAATTTGTGGTGGGGGGGCGCGGGCGGGTGGTAAACTTGGTAAATTGACAAAGAATAAAAGAATTTACAATCAAAAGGAGCATAGGCCCTTAGATGCCAAGATCCTGAGCGAAAAAACATGTTGATTAGTGTAGTTTTGGCCTTCGTCATGTATGATTCGTTTGGGTCTCTTGATCTTAATTTGACTGGGAGGAAGATCACTTTGTTGATTATTTTTTTAACTGTTAAATAAAGCATATATGGATTACCTGCCAAGAGTATCGTCTAAAGAAATCTCTTACTTTTTTTTTTTTTAATCATTTTCTACATTTACACATTTTCAAGTTTGTACTCTAAATGTTAGTCGAAAATCATTTTCAAAAACTAAGATAAAATTTAACAATCTAATAAGTTGTATTAACATATATATATAAGTTAAGGGATATAGAAACCGAGAAAAATGACCTTTCTCTTTTCTTTAATTTTACACCCATTTTTTAAATTGTATTCATAACTTTCTAACCAAACTTTTCAACCAAATTCGTTTAATAAAATCTCTTTTACCACTTTTTTTGTAGAAATAAGAAATTTTATTTTAAACAAATCTAACAGAGCACGTGTAGATACTATATATAGGAGCTCCTTAGACTCATACAGGTGTCATTTATTCATTGGTTGTACAGCTGTAGACAGATTGTATGTTGGGTTGAGTTTATTTCTTCCCTGCTATTTATATCAGCAGTTTTACCTCCTCTGTAACTTCTTTGATTAATCAATGAAGTAATCTTCTTCTCCTTTTTCTTCTCTCTGTTCTTGTTCAATATGGTATCAGAGCAATAAAATGATTCTTGTGCATCCTCATCCTCGTTCTGGAATTTTCTCATTCCTTCATGTTCTTGATTTTCGATCTGTGTTCTTTGTGATTCGTTCGTTCTCTTCTGGTTTTCATGGCGAACGATTCTTTTTCTCAATTTGATCCTTCATCTTCATCGAGGATCAATTCCGCCATTGAAGACTGTTCTAGTCCTTATTATCTTCATCATTCGGATAATCCAGGGCTAATTCTTGACCACTGACTGAAGACAAATACGCTTTGTGGAGTCAAGCTATGGTGATTGCTCCGTTAGTGAAGAACAAGTTAGGGTTTATTGATGGATCCATTCCTCGTCCTGAAGGTAATGATTCTCTTCTCAATTCTTGGTTCCGGAACAATAACATGGTTATTTCTTGGATTCTTAACTGTGTTTCTAAGGAGATTTCTACTAGTGTTATATACTCTGATTATGCTTATGAAATGTGGTTAGATCTTAAAGAACGTTTTCAGCAGAAAAATGGACCTCGTATTTTTCAATTGAGGCGTGATCTGATGAACCACACTCAAGTTCATCTTCCGTCAATGCTTATTTCACCAAATTGAAAACAATTTGGGAAGAACTTAGTAATTACAGGCCTTTCTGTTCTTGTGGAAAGTGTCTTTGTGGAGGAACTAAAGCACTTGCAGATCATTATCAAATGGAGTATGTTACGAGTTTCTTGATGGGCTTGCATGATTCTTTTGCTCAAGTGCGTGGTCAGTTGCTATTAATGGATCCAATTCCTCCTATCAACAAGGTTTTCTCCCTTGTTTCTCAAGAGGCACATCAGAGGAATGTTAATGTGACTTTTGTCGGTTTTGGAGGTGCTGAATCTATGGCTTTTGCTGTGAAAAACGATGTTGCTCGATCTGACAATGGTCAGAATTTTCCTAGAGGGCAAAGGAAAGATAATCTCAATTCTAACAAGCCTGTCTGTACTCATTGTGGCTATGTTAGCCATACAATTGATAAATGTTACAAGCTGCATGGTTATCCTCCTAGATATAAGGCCAAGTCTAAGTCTAATACTTCTCATCAACCTTCTTCCAGTCAGACCCCAGCTGTTGCAAATCAAGTCTCCAATTCAGTTAATGATTTGTCTCATGGGAATGTTGAGAACTCTGGAAATTTTAGAAGCTTTGTTCAAATGCTCTGATACCATATTAAACAAGAACAGAGAGAGGAAAAAGGAGAAGAAGATTACTTCATTGATTAATCGAAGAAGTTACAGAGGAGGTAAAACTTATGATATAAATAGCAGGGAAGAAATAGACTCAACCAAAAATACAATCTGTCTACAGTTGTACAACCAATGAACAAATGACACTTGTACAAGTCTAACAAACTCCAATGGCATTTGAACAAAGCTTCCAAAATTTCCAGAGTTCTTAGCATTCCCACGAGACAAATCATTAACTGAATTGGAGACTTGATTTGCAACAGCAAGGGTCTGATTGGAAGAAGCTTGATGAGAAGTATTAGACTTAGACATGGGCTTATATCTAGGAGGATAACCATGCAGCTTGTAACATTTATCAATTGTATGGCCAACATAGCCACAATGAGTACAGACAAACTTATTAGAATTGAGATTATCTTTCCTTTGCCCTCTAGGAAAATTTTGACCATTGTTAGATCGAGCAACATTGTTTTTCACAGTAAAAGCCATAGATATACCTCCTATACCAATACCTTATACTAATTATGCACCATCAGTTTCTCCGTTACCTAGTGAGCATATTTCTCATAATACTCCTGCTCAACCTATCTTACAACATTCCCCTCCAATTAGAAGAACCTCTCAGGTTATTAAACCACCTTCCTACTTAAGGGATTTTCATTGTAATCTTTTATCTAATAACCCTTCTCATTCCTCAAATTCACCCTATCCAATTGAAAATTACATTTTCTATGCCAATTTGTCCCCTTCTCACTCCAATTACCTACTCACTGTATCTTCTACATATGAGCCTCAATTTTACCATGAAGTTGTTAAGTTTGCTCATTGGAGAGATGCCATGTCAAAGGAATTAGAGGCTATGGAGACCAACAATTCCTGGACAATTACAGCTCTTCTTGTTGGCAAACATTCCATAGGGTGTAAATGGATTTATAAGGTCAAATATAAATCTGATGGAAGTTTAGAGAGGTATAAAGTTTGTTTGGTGGCAAAGGGGTACACACAACAAGAAGGTTTGGATTTTCTAGAGACTTTTTCACTAGTGGCTAAATTGGTTACTGTCAAAATCCTTCTTGTTGTTGCTGCTAGTAACAAATGGCCTTTAATCCAATTAGTGTTAGTGTATGCCCTAGGAACCAATTGTGTTGTCGGTTTAAGGACATTATATCTTGTAAATGAATTATGAATAAAAGAAAGTGTTCTTATTTCACATGTTGATTTACTGCTTTATTTATATTATAATTAATATTGCATGTGAAATGTCCAGATGACACAGATCTTCAGAAGATCAGATCATCGAAGAATTTGCTACACACGTAATGTTAACTGGGCAATAACATTGCATAGTAGGCATGTTGAATGTCTCCATTGAATATCATGTGATGATATTAGTGTGGGTGATTATAAGAGGTATGTCACTAAGACATTAGCATGGATAAACGGTTAGTGAACTATTTATCGAAAACGATCGATTACGATGAATCACATGGACGTGGTTAATGATGTATTGTAGGATCGTGCTAGTGTACCACTAATCCTTAGACTTGAGACATCACGGTTGAATTCAACATAGGATGCATATGATTCATATGGTGTATAAGCACGAGACTAGTCGTGTCTTGTGTAATAAGCCAGTTTGGTCATATGTTATACATATGCGAGGACAAGTGATGGTCAATATGGGATCTGTTAACTCAAAACATTCCAATCTCGAGTTTCCAGACGAATGTTAATAAATATTGGAAAAGGGAAATCTCTGGCCAGAGTATAATGAATGTCAGATGAAAAGTAGTTTCATGTTGACAAGTTTCATTGTATCGATTGAGAATTCGATTAAAGATTAAGTTAAGGGTTTTGACATACCATGAACCATTCTTAATTGGAGGGATTTTACTACACGATACGTACGATTAGAAAGGGTTCATTGGAGTTTACACTTCATTGTGGTTTAGGGGTTATGGAACATTGCTAGACGTTTACCATAATCAGTGGGAGTTTCGATTATAAAGAGTTATAACGAAACATATCGAAATCCGATACTGGGCCCATGGCTAGATCATAGTGAACCAAAATGGTCACACATAAAACCAAGCTCAAGAAGAGAGAGTAATATATATCATTAATCGGATTAATGATGTTCGGACGTAAACGATTGCATCCAAATTAATGTATTGGTGAGAAATGATTATCCATGGATAGCTAGCACTAACCAAGAGTAATAAGGATTTATTAAATATTATTATTGAATTGGATTCAATGATGGGGGCAAAAGTGCATTGGTTTTATTCTAAAGTGTTAGAATATTTAATGGAATTAAAATTTGGTCTAATTATGAATTAACCATAAAACCAAGGACTTGACATAAATGTTTATTCTCAAGTTAATTTTAAATTGTTTGAGGCCTTCCCAAAACAATTTAAAATTACACTTTGTGCCCATGGTATATATTTTAATGAAATTTGCAACAATTGAAAACAAAAGGTACTCTCTCACTCTCTCGGCTCTCTCTCATCTTTGGCTTGGGTGGATTACATTTTGAGTTTCTTCATTCTCTTTTGAAGAATCTAGACTCCAAGTTTCAACATCAAGCATTTAATAGCAAAGGAGTTGGTAATTTTCTATTATTTTCTTACATTAATAAGTTAATGTTTTAATGGTTTGTTTTCTACCTTATGTCCATCATCTCGATCATCACTTTCTCTTCATTTACATGTCCAAAATGCTTGAAACACAACAATGGTATCAGAGCATGTATAAATTCATGCATGCATGTAGCATTTTTGGTGAAAAATGGCTTGGTTTGGACATAAATATGTTTTAGCTTTAGATGTCTGTTGAAGTTATCATGTATTTTGAATACAAATGATGACGGATATGTGATATTCATGCTTTTATGAATTTTTGATATTTAGAATACATAGTTTCTTGTTCTTGAAGTCATATGTAACATGCATGTATGATTTATTGCATCTTGATGCATTTTTGTTAAAATATGAATATATCTCATTCATATGATACATGCATGTGTAATGTGAGCATGTTTGATGCAAATTTGATGACTTTGAAAAGGATGAATTCGGCCAAACATTATTTGGATGCAATGTACTTTGAATGCATGTTTGAGAAGTTATATGTGATATAATGGAGTATAAATGCATTTGAGTTGGATTGTATTTTGAATACAAGTTGGTTGATTCACTTTGAGTAAATAATGATGATCTTAATTTTTGTTTAAGTTTTTTATTTATTTATTTATTTATTTATGATGGTTAATGTTGATTAAATGAAGGTAGAATGGATTAAGCTGATATGCATGCTTGATTAATTATTTGCTCATCACATGTTTTCTTTTTGGATGGTGATTCAAGTGAAAATAGGTGCATCATGATACATAGGTTTGCAATTTTTAATTTTATTTGATTGAATGTGATGTGAGAGGTTTTTTAATGTGATGGGTAAGATAATATTTTTTATAAATATTATGGTGATGAAATTATGCATGTACCTTTAGTTTAATCATGACATATTTTATACATTTATTGCATGAAATCCTTAGGATATATATATATATATATATTGTTTTTTTTTTTTTTATAACGCTGAAGCATACTGCTTCTTCTGACGCCACGTATTATTGATATATGATCGTCATGTAGGATATCGTTAATTGGTCCACGTGTTTGCTGTTTATTGGGCTTGCTATAATAGGGATTATTCACATGCATTCAATTAATATATTCAATACAAATCTTTCACATTTCTCTTTTAATTTGATAAATTACTAATGATTCGCTTGTGTGTTACTAATTTCCATGAATATTAAGAGTTGCTATAATATAAATTATTCACATGCATTCAATGCAAATCTTTCACATTCCTCTTTTAATTTGAGATCTTTCACATCCCTCTTTTAATTTGATAAAGATACAACATATCTTTTCACATTCATATATATATTTATATAATGCTGAAGCATACTGCTTCTTCTGACACCACGAAGGATTGATATATGATCGTCATGTAAGATGTCGTTAATTGGTCCACGTGTTTGTTGTTTATTGGGCTTGTTATAATAAGAATTATTCACATGCATTCAATTAATGTATTGAATACAAATCTTTCACATTCTTCTTTTAATTTGAGATTTTTCACATTCCTCTTTTAATTTGATAAATTACTAATGATTCGCTTGTGTGTTATTGATTTCCATGAATATTAATAGATTGCTATAATAGAAATTATTCACATGCATTCAATACAAATCTTTCACATTCCTCTTTTAATTTGATAAAGATACAACATATATTTTCACATTCATGAAATTCAATAATACACTTCATTAATCCATTAATATTCAACGTTCATTCATGCATATTAATTATTATTATTATTAATTAATATTAATATTTTTGTACCCCTTTACATTCAATTAATTATTATTAATATTAATATATTTTTACCCCTTCACATTCAATTAAATGTTTTTTTATAAAACGTATTATCATTTAACATTTAATATAAATCTAAAAATTTTAAACTCGTCCAATAACAATAAAACATTTAAATCAAAATAACCATAACTAATAACATGCAAACACTTACTAAAAAATATCAAAAGTTTCATTCATGCATATTAATTATTATTATTAAATTAATATTTTTGTACCCCTTTACATTCAATTAATTATTATTAATATTAATATATTTTTACACCTTCACATTCAATTAAATGTTTTTTATAAAACGATTATCATTTAACATTTAATATAATCTAAAAATTTAAACTCGTCCAATAACATAAAACATTTAACAAAATAACCTAACTAATAACATGCAAACACTTACTAAAAAATATCAAAAGTTTCATTCATGCATATTAATTATTATTATTAATTAATATTAATTTTGTACCCCTTCACTTTTCAATTATTATATTTATTAATATATCTTTAACCCTTCACAATTAAATGTTTTTT